ATTATTTTTTTTAAAAATTAAAAAATTATTTACGTCATCACTGGCTGCGCCACGTAGGATAGATGACCTAGACTAGACCAGCACATCAGCGATTTTCGGTCAAAATTAGCCGGAAAAACTACATTAACAATTCGTTAAAAGGTTTAGGACTAAATTGGCAAATTATTAAAAGGTTTATAACTAAATTGGCATAATTGAAATTTGCAAACTATTAAAAGGTTTATGACCTTTTGGCAATTTTTTTGACAAACACATTAGCTATAAAAATTTACATGAGAGAGAGTGAGAGCATATTGCTTAGCAAATTGAATCATACCACTCTCCTAAATATTGATAGAGTCCACATCCCTAAATGGGTGTACGATGTTCTCAATTAATTTGGAAACTAAAAGTTAGCAAAAGCTAGGGAGAATATTTCTTAGCAAATCGAATCATTCCGCACTCCAAAATATTGATAGAGTTGATCTTCTCTATTAATATGTCAACTAAAGTCAGCAACAGCAAATTTCACCCAACTATACAACTACTTGCAATATCTGGAGTACACAAAACACAAGTTGAATTGCCGCTGGTGGTATTCAATTAGGGTTTCTCTTTCTCCCCTAGGAAAGTACAAGTGCCATGGAAAGTGGAAAAAAAAAGCTTGATGCTTTACTAATTTCATATACGCTCAAGTACTTTCTCTTTAGAGTCAAATGTGGCATTACAATGTCCAACAAATTAAAACCCATCAAAGTGGATCTTGTGTAATATGTTGGGTTGGGATCAGATTCTTAGGATGGAGTTATAATTTATAGTAAAAGAGAAGTACAAGTTGTGTTGGAAAGAGGACAACATATTCTGTCCACTATGCACGGTGGAGACGAGCTCATTCTATTCTATGCGTTCCCTGGCTTTGAGTCGAGTAGTATTACCATGCAACATATGAAGCTGCGCCTCTACTCGGTTTTGTATCACTTTTATCTCAGCAATGAATCATCTTACTTTAAAAGCAGCATATTCGGTAGATTGCTGAAATGCTTTTTTGAATTTGATCCTCGAACTTATAATTTATGTAATTAAGCCATTGAACTCGTGGGACTTTTCCAATCCAAGTCCCTCCACATGAAATGTTGGTAAATGAAGTTGGCATTGTTGTGAAAAACAAGCGATCAAACACAATATCAAATAGAATAAGGGAATAAATCGGGCATCTTGATACGGTCGGTGGGACATACTCCACATGAAGAGGTATAGGTCAAGTCACTCAAACACTCGGTGTTTTTTACATATAATAACTCACACAATGTTTAACCCTTACAATTTCTCGTGAATCAATCACTCAATCTCATAGAGAATTTCACATATCTAGCCATATGATTTAAACGCTTACAATTTCTTTAGGATGTAATCCACGAGTACGTCGCACGATTGATTTCTGCGACCAAATATTCTTCTGGTCACTCTATATATACCACTGAAATTAAGAAATCTACTTGGATTGGGTTTCCCTTATATCGTTAAACTTGAGAAATATTTTCAACCGACACAATGAGCAATGCAGTATAGAACCAAGCATAAGGTCCTAAGATAACTTCGAATTATGGTGTGACACGTCCATGGATATTGTCGTCGTTCTTCTCACGTTGCGTTTTTCCTTCCATCTAATTTATACAAAAGATTCCGAATATCAGCCATATCAAAGCATAGTCGAGTGCTAATTGCGACATTGCTTTAATTCGTTAAAATTGAGGATAGATGGACACGACTGGAAACCTTTTACGAATTCAGAGATTTGATTAGCAAAATCACAAATTTTTTAGGATCAAAATGAAAGAATAACGCAAGTTCAAGGATTGAACATGCACTTTTCCGTTTTCCCCTATCTTTGATGGATTGGACCTCTCTGATCTCTACGTCCACGACCCATCAAATGTTAAAAGGACGACATTTCTATCAGTGGGCCATTTCTGTTGATGCATCATAGTCACTGACGCCCACACGAGTTACTCCCCAAGCTAATAGGAAAGTGTGCGCCTCCTTTGTGCTTTGTCGAGTGACGTGAAAATAACTTTCTACTTCATGTCGACGCGGTATCACCGCCCGATCAAGTATTCTCATTTACGAGATCTTTTGACAACGCACTTGAAAATGAGTCTGATTCCGGAAGTGATTACGCCCCGTGGTATACCCGATGCACGAAGTTCTTGTTGCGATTAGAAACCTCGAGTTTGATGGCTCTTCAACGAAAGGAATGACCAACTTTTGTCACTTAATAAAAAAAAGAACGTAGTTTTAAAGTTCAGATAAAGCAAAATCAGACCCACTTATTGCAAGATCAAGTGGAGAATCGCTGGACAGCATTAACTAATTCACCCCAGATCTATACTTGCCTATGGGCGTGTAATCCTCAATCCCCACGACCACTTCTGGGAACATTCCTCGACATGGGAAAATAGGCAAGCAAGTCTAACATGCTTCCATCTGAAACGATGAGAGATAAGCCATACATGCTTTCATGGAATAACTTGTTCATGTTGTGCTCGCAATTGACAGTGTCTAAAGTATTAATGTGTGTAGCTAAACGTTATCTCCCGGGCAAAGAAGTGGTTAATCAGACACGTTGTAATAAATTAAGTCAATCACATTTCGGATGACAGATGACACTTGGAGCCTCGTCCCTGAATCCGATCAAGGTTGTAGGTGTCCACAAACTTGCCTCGAGTATATATATTTTTAATTAGCTTTTAATTGGGTCAATTAGGGGGGTCGATTGGCTAGGCTTAATGCGTGAGATTAAATATTTAAAAATTAGCTAGATAAAGCCTTCAAAGTTTTTATAACAATTGCGCAGCGGTTTCGTACAATTTTACCTTGTATAAGAGCGGGAGGTCCTAAATTCAAACTTTTTCAGCATCTTTATTTACTTTCCCGTATATGTTTTCACGCTAAGGTCTTAGGCCAAAATACAACTTATGCATAATTGAAGAGTGTCAGGATAATTAAGTATTTAAATTACGTTTTCATCTAACAACTTAACTTTGAGAACAACTATGGACTTCTTTTAAAATCAATATGAACACAATCATAAGCAAATTGAGGATTAGAAAACTCTAAACCTAACAAATAGTGGTGGTCCTGCAAAATTTTACATGAAAACACGCATGAACCTTGAGGAGTTAATTTAGAAATTGAGGCATGATCTTGTGAATCAAATGCGCAACATACAGGTCGGTTCTCTGTAACATCAAGAACAAACAATCTCATGATTGCACATTCAAACTTTGACTCATATCTTATTTTACCCACAAGGTTTGGAGATGAGATAAAACTTAAATATGAGGATATCGTACCTAAAGATTTTGGTAAGTTCCAACCAAGCCTGCCCAAATAGCCAGCCCAATGATGGCTGCACATGTTTGCTCTCCTACTATAACTTTACTTTTGTCCAACATTTCAGCCAGCGAGTTAGAAAAGTGCATTGCTTTTCAACTTGTGCGTACATGAATAAACTAACAAAAATATCACAGAACTTTAGGAATTGTTGTGAGCTTATGTCATGGACATTTGCTACCTCATGGAAAAAGACTTTCTAACTTCTAGCACACCGATTGAGCCAGCTTGGTGAACTCATACAACTATGAATGGAACGACTAATGAGTAGTTATGACTCAAATTGAATATTTATTAATGATCGGGGGACCCTCATGAACAACCCTAGATGGTGTATCCGTGGATTGTCCCTCCATCCTTTTATAATAAAATATCGTAACTTGTTGATGACCGATATATACTTTGTTGAATCATTTGTTTGTATTTTAAAGAAAAACCAGATTTACGGCGCCTTCGGCAAAGTTAGGTTGAGCGAGGGCATCTTGGTGACTGTTTATCGGAGATGGTGGCCGTGGTGGTGGCAACAAGGGAGAATTGCCTGGAGAGCAGAGATAGACAGAATGTATAGGAGGTGGCCGGTGGTGTCATGGGCTCCACCGAGGGGGAGGCGACGGCAGAGACTAGCCGGACTTGGCAATGGTGGTGGTTGCGGCAGTGTGTTGCACTAGAATAGAGGGAAGGGAACGGATCGATACGGGTGTTTGTGTTGTTGAATAAGATTTCGGGTAAGTTTTTTTCTGTGTTTGTGAGCTTTAGGCAAAAATAAACATGGTGAAATCTTAATGGAGGGAGACATATATAATGTTGGGCAGCTCGAGGCCATTGTAATGTTGGGTAACTCCAAAACCTATTCAAATTTTTTAAAAAGGATTGTATGATCTATAGATCATACAGATCAAATGCATCAATCATTTGACTCCACGATTGTGTCCCAAACAATTCATTGAGAAGGTATTGTTCTACATAATCTATGGCCTAATTCCTTAAAAAAACCCCAAACTTTAAGTCCAATCCCAATTCTGTTTCGAACTTTTTTTTTATCTAAAAAAACCCAAAACTTTAGGTTCATTCCCTTTTTTTGTCTAGAAAAAAAAAACTCCAAATTTTATGCCCAATCTCAAATCTACCCTGGACTTTTTTTGGGTTAAAAAATATCACAAACTTTCAATCTAGTTTCAAATCTGCCTCTGTTAACTCTCCGTCAAAAAATCGCTATTAGTTATTTGACGTGGTATTTCCACGTCAGTAACAAATCCACGCCAACAACTTAACCCAGAAAATTATCTTTACAATGAAACCGTTCTTTGATATTAAAATTAGGTCTGACTAACACCGATTTTTGGACTGAGGGTTAACGGGGCAGATTCGGGATTGGACCTAAAGTTTAGATTTTTTTTTTAGACAAAAAAGTTCGTGATAGAATTTGGACTGAATCTAAAGTCGAGACTTTTTTAGGGAATTAGACCTCTAATCTATATACGGTCCAATATGTCCCTTATTTCGTGGCGCGCGTACCACTTGCAAAGTGCACTTTCTTTGGTAGGTGATGCAAGAGGGGTGGTCACTTAAACCCTTTAAATACCACTTCCAAGTCCCAATCCCTCCGATCAAACACATATCACCATCTCTCTCTCGCAACACACTATCACTACGTACGCACTCCATGCATGTTGATTACCCGGACAACATACCTTACACATAGATCACTCATCACCAACCATCACGACAAGAACAAAAAAGACAACGCTAAGGCTATCAAGCGTCATCATCAGTAAGGAAGATGATAGGGTGGGACGACGTGTACAAGGTGGTGGTGTCGATGTTCCCGCTGTACGTGGCGCTCATGCTCGGCTACGGCTCCGTCAAGTGGTGGCGCCTCTTCACCCACGAGCAGTGCGACGGCATCAACCGCTTCATCGCCCTCTTCATCCTCCCGCTCTTCGGCTTCGAATTCACCGCCCACATGAACCCGTACGCCATGAACTTCCGCCTCCTCACCGCCGATGCCCTGTCCAAGCTCGCCACCCTCACGATCCTCGCCCTTTGGGGGAGGTTCAGCAGCCGGGCGAGCTACAACTGGTGCATCACGACGTTCTCGCTGTGCACGCTGACGAATCTGCTAGTGGTCGGCGTGCCGGTGATGCGGGCCATGTACGGCCAGTGGGGCGTCGACTTGGTGGTCCAGCTGTGCATGATACAGTCCCTAGTTTGGATGCCTCTGCTTCTTCTATTTCTTGAGTTCAGAAAGACGAGGATGATGGATTTGGCCACTTCTCCTCCTCCTCCTCCTGCTGCTGAAAATAATGGTGTGATTGATGAAGAGAGGGCTATAGAGATGAGTGTCGTGAATACAAGTGATGGTGGTGATGATGATCATGAGAAGAGGAGCTATTGGTCATTCACAAGAGTGGTGTGGATGAAGATGGCCATGAACCCTAACGTGTATGCCAATGCTCTCGGTCTTGCTTGGGCTCTCATGGCTAGCAGGTATTATTAAATCCAGTAAGCTTATTTCTCAGATACACCAAGACTAGCTTACGAAGTTAATTTATTGAATGCGCGTGCGTTTGCAATTTGAGCATATACCACTTTATCTAGTAAAGCAGTTTAATAAATCAGTTTAATACGGCTAGTATTGTTCCATCTCTAATCACGAAGCTTTGAAAAAGTCACACGTGTCCCATGCAAATGTAAAGAATTTCATTAGTAAACCACTTTTCTTCTTGTCCTCTCACCCATACGTGCAGCGGTTTGAACAAGAACCGCCGGAAATGAAATTCGAACAGAAATGATCCGAATGAAAAAACAACCCGATTTTTTTCGGATTGGAATTCCTTTCGATTCGGGCAATAAATAAATAACGATTTATGGCGGTTCAGTTCGATTTCGGGTCTTATACCCGAACCAATACAGAGCACATTAAAGGCTAAACAGAAATATAAACAGACCACTTGTGATGATAGTTAATAGAGGGGTGATGACTGATAATCAAGGATCGAGAAAGAGATTGCGAGAGAGAGTAATGTCCAGCAACACGTGTTCATCATGCAAATCTGCATACCTCACATCTGTCATCTCTCTTTCCTCTCTTTTCACTATTCTCTCTCTCTCTCTCTCTCTCTCTGCTCTCTGGCGTTCATTTGCGAAAGAGAAACCTCAAATGGGTCAACAGATCTGAGGTTGGACCAGACATGATAAGAGGCTGTGAACGGCTTGCATAGCTTCTGAGGAGAGAGCGAGAGACAGAGAGAAATCCTTCATCTTCTTTCTTTCCTTTCTTTCTGTTTTAAAATATTCTCATACCTCGTCATCCGTTGAAACTGCGGGTAAGGTATCGGTAGGGACCCAAATCGAACTGGCCCATTGACACGGGTAAAGTATGGCACATCGTTTGTCTCCGGAGTTTACATGCATCGATACTAAGAATTATGAACTTAAACTTTTGGGTTAAATTTTCTAAGATCAACCCCTTCATTTATGTACATACATAGTTTCTCAACATACGATAACATGGTGTTGCTGCAGGTTCAAATTTGCCATGCCGAGCATCATGGAAGGTTCGGTTGAGATCATGTCGAAAGCAGGGACGGGCATGGCCATGTTCAACATCGGTATGTACGCGCTGAGCAATGCGATCGTTGGTTCCGAAATTCTCAAACCGATCAAAAGATGTTCAGCATCAATGTCTCAACTCACTGCTTTCTTAGATGATTCATGAAAGTGAAATGGTGCATGCCAATTGCAGGGATATTCATAGCAATGCAAACGAAGGTGATAGCTTGTGGAACGTGGCCCACGGTTCTAGGAATGGTGTCGAGGTTCGTGGTGGGGCCTTCCGTCATGGCCCTTTGCTCTCTTGCCGTGGGCTTGGATGGGCCTGCTTTGCGTATTGGCATAATTCAGGTTTGCTTAATTTCAATTTGCTTATTCATTAATCATAAACAGCTATCTTAATTTAACCCAACATTGTTATTTTCATAATATATTTCATATCCAATTTCTTAATTATTACTATTATCTAATTCGGGTACAGGCAGCACTTCCACAGGCTATTGCTTCTTTCGTGTTCGCCAAGGAGTATGGATTGCATGCGAATGTTCTTAGCACTGCGTAAGTTCATCAGTTACATTTTTCTTGTTTTAGAAGATTGCCTTGCTCTATTGTTTTGGGTTTACTTGTTTGGAGCTTATAATATATGATCAACGAGGGCTATTTAATTTACTCTTGTTTAATTTGTTGTAGGGTGGTGTTCGGCACACTAATTTCCCTTCCGCTGTTGATCGGCTATTACATTGGCTTGGAATATACATCTTAAGAGGGGAGATTGTTAATTAATCACTATATAAAGACATTATCCGCCGGTGAAATTGATTATATTCACCTCGTTATTCCATTAATGGTTTAAATTTGTGAGTGCTCTAGAGTAATGGAGAAACTGAAGATGAATTGAAAAATCTAAACGAGAAATTACCATCTATTACCGTCTCTTATGTACTTAGTAAGATTGTGACACATGTCCATCTAATTTTGAACGTAGATATGATGCTTCCAAAAGTGTTCCAATCACCTATTTCCTGTAGCTGATCGCGACATTTGTCCCTTTCATTATACAATCGATCACATCGAATTCAAAATCCAAAATCCTTACACATAGACATCCACCTCTCAACCACAATCAATACCATGGCACAGCCAATGCTGTGACTATTTTTTCGATCACAACTGTCCACAACAACCTTCGCCACTCCACCACCCACCGCCGACACCGGCGAGAGCGCCGTCTCTGAAGAGAAAGAGAGGGTTCGGTAAGGGAGAGGATCTAGTGGATATATATTTTGATCGAATGAGATGGGATCCAAAGCAATATGGACACTTGTGGTGGAGATAAAACTATAGTAGTGGCATTGGAATGTCATGTTTATGTTCCAAAATAAGTCAAAGCAGAGAGAGAGTTATATCTCCAACGAAATGTTTAATTTGCTATCACAGTGAACGGTTGTTGTGCAATCAAAGAGAGATTATCTGTCATATGGTAGCTTTGAGGCAAGCTTAGCAATCAGAGAGGGGAATGGTGTTAAGCAAGAAAAAGAAAAAGAAATATCATAGCAAATTCCTAAAGAAAAGAAAGGTCATAGAAGACAGATTTTGCTGGGTAGGACTAATCAACAGATTTTTCCGTAATCTGTTTGCTGTCTAGTGTAAAGAGTGGAAAATAGAGGAGCTAAATCGCAGAGGAAAGGTGCGCGAAACTTCATATGCCTCTATCCTCTCCATGGGAACAAGGACACTACAAGTGCCAAAATTTGTGTACGGTGTTTACTTTAGTGCTAAAAGTTTCTACCATACCACTTAAGCGTCAGACTTTTTGAAAAACGATCACTTAAGTGCCAACTCCGGTCAATTTGGCCGGAAATCCGGTGTTGCATTTTTTTTTATTAGTTTCTGAAGCCGATGTGGCTCGCCGGAGGCTTAGTCAGCATGTACAGTCAACATTTTTTATTTTAAATAATTTAATTTTTTTCTTTTTTCCTTTCTTTTCTTTTTTTTTCTTTTTTGATCAACCGGCCGGTGGCCAGCTGGCCGGTTGCCGGTGGTTGGGTCGGCCACCGGCGACGCTTGGGAAGGGCTCGGTGAGGTTGCCCCTCGCCGGCCATGGGTGAGGCCGACCTTGCCAGCGGCTGGCAAGGGATGGCCTCGCTAGCTACCGGCGAGGGATGGCCTCGCTAGCTACCGGCGAGGGGCGACCTTGCCTGTCGCCGGCGAGGGTCGTCTCGCCTAGATCTGGCGAGGCCATCCCTCGCTAGCAGCTGGCGAGGCCTTCGCCTGTCGCCGGCGAGGCCATCGCCCAACCCTTCCTGGGCTTCGCCGGTGGCCGGTAGATCAGAAAAGAAAAAAAATAAAAGAAAGGAAAAAAGAAAGAAAAGGAAAAAAAAGGAGAGAAAAGGAAAAAATAAAAAAATAAAAAAATTTTAAAATAAAAAATGCTGACTGTACATGCTGACTAAGCCTCCGGCGAGCCACATTGGCTTCAAAAATTAATAAAAAAAGGTCACGTCGGATTTCCGGCCAAACTGACCGGAATTGGCACTTAAGTAATCGTTTTTCAAAAAGTTTGGCACTTAAGTGATCCGGCGGAAACTTTTGGCACTAAAATGAGCGCCGTACACAAGTTTTGGCACTTGTAGTGTCATTGTTCCCCTCTCCATGTTATGTATGTAAGGGGGGATAATCACTATGTCATTTAGTAGGATCTTAAATTTGGACCAACCCAAAAACACATTAAGGGCGAAACTGAAACATTAACAGACAACATGTGATGATAGTTCATGGGGGTGATGATGACTAATAATCTAGATTCGAGAAAAGGGAGAGAGATGTTTAATTAAATGGCCTTGCTAGCATGACAATCTTTACTATTCAGTAGCTTTACTGGAATCGTGGATAAGAAATAGTTTGATACATTTAAAGAAGGATTAATACTACGAAAAGCCCTAAATTGGTACACATATGTCAAATTTACCCCAAATTAATTTTTTTGACCACCAAAAACCCTTAACTGGTACACCTCTGATAATTTTACCCTTCGTTAGTTTCCTTTAAATTTTACCTTTAAATTTTTGAGATAGATGATACGTGGCAGTTGACGAGTGTACCAGTTTGGGGTTTTAACCTCCGTTTGTCATAAGTATACTCGGTTTGTAATTTTTTGTGTTATTAATCCAATTTAACGGAGGGTAATTTTGTCACAAATGTACAAGTTTAGGGTTTTTCTTTGTCAAAAAATTAGTTTGGGGTAAATTTGTTACAAGTGTACTGGTTCGAGGTTTTTTTTTATATTAACCCTTTAAAGAAATAAATTAGAGGATAGAATTTTCTATTTTGGAATTTTAATTCTTATTTTTAATAACTTTAATAATCTCTTTTTGGTAATACTATTTTCAGATATTCAATACTCTTAATTAAACCTACATACCTCGCATCTGTCATCTCTCCTCTCACTCTCTCTCTGGCGTTCATTTGGACCAGAAATGATAAGAGGCTGTGAATGGCGTATGTAGTTTCTGAGGAGAAAGAGAGGCAGAGAGACATATCGTTTATTATCTTTCTTTTTCATTTTAATTTTCTGAATCCTCGTGCATTTCTTCATTCTGATGAAGTGTACTCTCATATCATACATGTCTTCATTCTTAAATTACAGCCTTTGGTCACTGCGATGTTCCAAGCAGACCCGTCGGTTCAGGTTCTCTGGGAATCGGATTTTGATGAGTAGGGTTCCTTTTTCGGATTATCATGGGATTGGAAAGGAAATTTGGGCAAGGCCGAAATGAGCATATATGGGGATTGCGAATTAGTGAAACCCAAATTAAACCGGCCTGTTGATATCCTTGCATATGTGTACTTAACTTCTTGACATTCGCTGCAGGTTTAAGTTTAAAAAGTTGAGCATCATGGAAGGCTCCATTGAGATCCTGCCAAAAGCAGGAGCAAGCACGGCCATGTTCAACATCGGTACGTACGCGCCAAGCTAAGCGATCATCGATTATGAAACTCCCGATTTAGATGAATTTAGCATCATTGTTTGAACTCACTGCTAATTCGACCATCACTGAAAATGTATGATGCATGTGGATGCAGGGATGTTCATAGCTATGCAAGATGAGCTTATAGCATGTGGAATTAAACCCGTAGTTTTCGGCATGGTGTCGAGGTTAGTAATTGGGCCTGCAACTATGGCCTTATGTTCTCTTGCCGCGGGCTTACACGGCCCTGCCTTACGCTTTGCCATCATTCAGGTTGACTTTAGTTTGTTTTGTTTATTCACTAATAATAAACAACTATCTTAATTTCACCAAACATGTTTTATTTTCATAATACATTTCTTATTTAATTTCTTAATTACTACTTCTTTTTTATTTAGGCGGCAGTTCCACATGTCATTACTTCCTTTGTGTTCGCAAACGAATATGGATTGCATGCGAAAGTCTTCAGCAATGCGTGAGTTCTACATCTCAATTTTTTTGCTTAACCATGTTATTCTACAATTATGGTGTTCGGAACGGTGATTTCCTTTCCACTACTGATCGGCTGTTTCATTGCGTTGGAAGCAATAGTTGATCATTTACTAAGTAAAGACACTTTCGCTGAATTTGTTGAAGTCCGGAAGAACTTATAGATAGGTGGTGTGTTGGCTTGAACTTCGAGCAAGTTTATGTATGAGCTCTTGTGATTTTGTGAATCTAACCAATGCATGCTTATTTCAGATTTGCATGTACATACCATTGACATTGGGACCGAATGTGCTAGCATGAAAGGAGATGGAATTGAGCACACTGTGAGATTAGAATATTCTTATGTCGTAAGTGTCGCGACCTAAAATTTTCTCAGGCTAATGGATTATTTATCATTTTATTACCTAATCACTAACATGTGAGGTGTTCATGTGGGTGCGCAAACCACCAATTTAACACCCAAGAAAGCAGTAAATAAATAGTAGGATAACATACCTTAAAGCCACGCAAGCATTTGCATTGTTAGTAGAAAATCATACAGCATAATCCTAATATGATTTCTAATTAACAAAGCAAGGTACTCAAGGTGTTCATTAGGGTTTGCGCTTTATTAAAATGCAAACTAACCTATATGCAATGACGTGCAAAAAATGACATGCGATTAATGCAACCTAGCATGCGAACTATATGTCATGCGACGACGTGACCTAATTTAATGACGGACAAATGATTTATTTTTGAATGAATTTCGGAAAAAAAAATACCTAAATTAACATGCAATCTATTCTAAAAAGGATGATTTAATCTATCCTAAAGTGACTTATTTTTGGTATTTTTATGAAAATTCGAAATCAAGAATTACCCTAAAATGAATCATCGAGATGAGGATAATATCTAAATTAAATTAGGAAATAAATTACTCTAATTCCTAATTTAAATTAAAAAGTCATCCTATCGACTTATTCAAAGAAAGTTATTCTAAACCTATCCTAAACATGCATCATTATCTTCTAATAAGATCAATTTAAATCCTAACTAATCTTTTTTTTGGAATTTTCTTTTTAAAGGAAATAAATCAAACAGACAGATAACCACAATGATCAAAACTAATCCACGCGATCCGCAAGATTTGTTTTATTATCTTTGAATTAGGGAAACGATATAAACCGGCGATCATATCCATGTGGTTATGGATATTGATAGAAGGCTATTCGTTTGAATTTGGGAACAAAATAAAATCTACTATCGTATCCAAATAGTTATGGACAGGATAAAGATTTTCCGTGCCACCGAGTATCGTATCTCATGGTTGAGATCGGATAGTCGTCCCGACACGTTGTTAAGTTAGGAATTTCCTAACTTAGTGTATTTTTTGGAATCTTGCGAATATGCCATGTATCATTCAAATATATCTACTAACCAACCAAAGACAACAAAATCACTCGAATTAGGAATTTAAATATTTG